TAAACATGAAAAAAAAACAAAAAACAAAAAGAGGAAACAGAAAGATGTAAGAGCCAGAGAGGGTGGAGGTCACCAAGGAAACAAGGAGCAGTTCACATAGGAACTCTTTGGGTCTCTCGCAGCATGCATAAGGCCTATATAGATCTGCCCCAGATAGGGTCCTACAGCTGAAAGGAGAGGTAGATACATGCCCCATCCTTAACCCAGAAGCTAGCTCCAATTGATAACCACTTGTAAATGAATTTAGTTTTCTTCAATGGAGTCTCACTGGGAAAACAAACTGCACTACAGTGATATATTATTTTAATAAATAAAGCTTGCCTGAAGATCAGAGGGCAAAACAGCCATACTAGTCAGCCATACAGGCCAGAGAGTGATGGTACACACTTTTAATCCCAGGACTAGGGAGACAGAGGCAGATGGATCTCTGGGAGTTCAAAGCCACCCTGGGCTATACAAGGTTGAATCTGTCTAAATGAGAAACAGAGTTCACACAAAGGCGATCCCAGCACTTGCCATCCCGTGCCTTTAATCCCAGCACTAGGGAGGGGGAGACAGGAGTGATATGCTGGGCAGAGAGAGGAACATAAAGAGGAAGAGACAGGAACTCAATGTGGTGTGGGGTTTGAGGATGCTTGGAGACAGGATCTTGCCCCTTGGGTCTGAAGATTTGAAAGACGTAAAAGGTCTCTCTCGTGGTTGGTTGCTTTGCTTTTCTGATCCTCAGGTTGAATCCCGGTGTCTGTCTCTGGGTTTTTATTATTTGCGTTACACTACACCTAAGGGAAGGCTGCATGGCCAGGACTATAAGGCTAACAAAAGACGAACTCAAAAGTATCTGTGGAGGTTCCTTGTCATATAATGTTGTATCAGGGCTTAAAAATATGATTTAATCTTTCTTTTAATTACATTTTTAATATAGTTCATTCTCTTTTTAACCTACAGATCCTTTGTGCATATAGTATGGTTTTCTATTTTGAGTTTTTAATGGGATTCCTGAGACTGTAAACAAGTGGGTTTCTGTATCTACATTTGTTTCTTGTGTCTTTTCTTGGGCTCTATTCCTTCTGTTTGTTTGCTTTGTCCTATTCCAATGTGCATTTTTCTTTTATCTTATTATATTTTAATTTTATTTCTTAGAAGGCGGTTTGTTTGAGAGATGGAAAGGTGGTGAATCCAGATGGGAGGGGAGATGGGAAGGATGTAGGGGTAGAGGTAGGGGAAACCATAGCTGGATATATTATATGAAAAAAAAAAACAATTTTTAATAAAAAACAATATGTAGATGATTCAGGGATCCAAGAAAACCTGAAATTCACAGTGGCTTCCCAAGGTTATATGAATAACAAACAATTACTGCAGAAAGGGGGACTCTTCAGGAGGGGTACCTAAGAATTGGGCAAGGAATAACTATCCCTTGGACTGCTGTGAGTAATGCCAATAAAATCACTGGTTCACCAAAAAGAAAAAAAATTCTTTTGATTTTAAATGTAGTGAGAATGAGTCACAAGTGTAAAAAAAAATTAAAAAATTTGATAGAAGAAAAGGAACTGGTTGCTTTTGGTCCTTTTGAGATATTACAGAAACAATTTTATCTGTGTCTGAGAACTACAAATGGAAAAGCTGTTTTATAAATTTAAATAGTTTTAAAATGCTTCATAAGAATTCTAGATAATGAGATATGATAGCAAGGGTATAATTTTCCTAAAAAATTATGTTTTTCAAGGGAAAATTTGCATGAAAATAATCTTATTTTTCCCTGAATGCTATGCTCTCCCCAGAAACCAGTAATTCCCCTTTAGTGTTTGAAATCAGTATCCTTTCCTTTCCATCAGCTGTCGGCGGCAGGATGCTTGAACCTGGAGCTCTGTTTCATCCTCTAGGTGGTGAGGTGACTACATGCTTCACACTGAGGACATCCTTTCAACTGGGAATCGAAATGTTAGTTTAGTATCAAAACAAACATGGACCCTTTCACGGTGAAATGGCAAAGAATTCATAGTGGAAATGGCAAGGGAGGTGCAAAGCAAGAGAAGACGCAAGGACGTCCAGGCCCTCCAGAGCTGCTCAATAAAACTAGAGATGACTTCCTGCAAAGCTGGTGCAAACCTCTTTAACGTTCTAAGTCTTTAACAAAGAACAGGATGTTGCTCTTTCTTCTTAAATTTCACTGACAATGTTATAAGAAACAGCTATTAAAGAAACAATATGGAAAAATGTAAGACATTTTGAAGTTCTCTAGAGGAGTCTACTACCTTGCCAATGTTGAGATATTCTATTTTCTTCTAATAGCTGGGCATCTCCTTGGGTTATTTAGTCTCAATTTCTAAAAGTAACATTTTTGTTTTATTTTTCAAATATTTTAAGATTTATATTTGGCTCACACATAAAAACATAAAATTGGGTAACATGTTTCAAGACATGCATACATTATAGAATATTTAAACTGGCTTCTTCATTTATCATATTTTATGGGGAGACTTTTGAATTCCTCTTAGCTTTTTGCAAGGCATGATAGGAACATTTCCGTACATTAGGGACATTTCAAGAGATACAATCTGGCTACCTCCCTGTACACCAGAACTTCTTCTATCCAATGTAAAACACATCTTAACTTCAGTTTCAGAACATTGAAATAGAAAAATACCTATGCATCAAATAAATTCTCCCAAGCCAAGAAACAGGCATTCTTAGCTTCTCTTCCTTTGTTTTGCTCAAGCAGTTTTCTGAGACTTTTTTCTCTACCCTTTTTATAAGCCTAGTTCATTTTTTTTCAGCTGCCAATCACCTCTTTCTCCTCCCTTTCCTTCACTCTCTCTAGCTCCCACCAGGGTTTCCCTGGATAGCCCAGGTGGGCCTTGATTATCTCAGTCCCCCTGCCTCAGCCTCCTGAATGATGGAGTTATAGTAACAGCCCAGGCATGTACCTTCATTGCATCTCTCTCTCTCTCTCTCTCTCTCTCTCTCTCTCTCTCTCTCTCTCTCTCGTGCTCTTGACTTTGGAACTCCTAACATTTTGACAAACTAACTACTCGCGACTTTAGAATTGCTACTTTCTCATTTTCTTACTGTATCTTTACTCTTGGCTTCTGTCTCCTGTTGGATCATCTTCATTCACTCGGTTAAGCAACTCTGCTCCCTCACTGTTTCACAGCCTGGGTCTGCCCACTCATTCACAGCGGGAGCTGCTGTTTGAGGTCTTGAAGGCTTGGCTCTTGCTTGGAGAGACTTCCATTCTTCCAGTCGTCCTGCCAAATCCCTGTCTGCATGTAAGATGCAGTGTGAATTTTGCCTCCTGATGAAACGTGGAAATGGCTCTGATGGACCTTGAAATCTTGGCACGATGAAAACACCAGTTACTCTTCCCCAAACCAAACGAGAACCAGCCTTTAAAATTAAAGGACATATTTCTGGAGAATATGGCTTTGCTTTGCAAATTTGGCAAGCCTGCCCTGCAATGACTTTTAAATTCTCTGTGAAGACAAAGAAATCATTTTGAAAAAAAAAATGCCTTTGATGTCTGAACTTCTTGAAAGCTTAGTATGAAAACGAAAGCCTCATGTTATAATTTCTTTGCATGTATTAATTATACACAATATTATGGTTCATTATGACATTTCCATATACATCTATCTATCTATATTTATATATGTATGTATAATGTATTTTGACCAACTGTTTTATTTTATTCAGTGAATTTCATGCAGAGTTTGGCCCCAGGTTAGCTTTTGTCATATCTAGGCAGCTTGATTGAGTTAAGTGACCCTTTAAAATTATCGGCTTCTTGTCTAAAGAAATACTTAATTATCCACATAGGGCTATGCTATTGAATTAGCTGTAGCGTCCGTGGAAAGATGTGAGACTACTAATTGGGAATCATGAATCCAGAATGGTATTCAAGTATGAAATAGTTAAGGTATTAGCAGTAATATGCATAGTAAAAAATGAAGAAGGCAATCTGGATTTCTTTCTTCCTTTCGGTTGAATTACATTGGAAGAATTATGTTTACTTTTGCAGAGCTTGGGTTTGGGGAAAGAGGTAAGCATCTCAATAGTCCAGGGCAGAGGTGTGGTATAGAAGGTCCTTCTGTCTGTGTTACTTTTATCCGTTGAATAAAGAAACTGCCTTGGCCTTTTGATAGGGCAGAAACTTAGGTAGGCAGGGAAAAGAAAACTGAATTCTGGGAGGAAGAAGGGCAATGTGGCAGATGCCATAAAGCTCCTGCCTGAGACTGATGCTGGTTAGAATCTTTCCTGGTAAGCCACAACCTCGTGGTGTTACACAGATTGGTAAAAATGGGTTAGATCAGGATAGGAGAATTGGCCAAGAAAATAATGGTTCAGACAGTAATTAATTAATACAATTTATATGTGGTTATTTCAGGGGTTAAGCTAGCCAGGCGACGGGACACAGCCCGCTCCTCCTAGCAACAGATGTGAAGAAGAAAGTCTGCATAGGGTGTAGGTGCAGGAGTTAGTTAGTCTGCATGAGGGTGGGGTTACGAAGGTCTCACCATTGCTTTCAAATACCTGATGGACCCTAGTGTGGGAGACACACATACTCCTCAGGTAATAGATACTAACACACAGGGGGTCCTTATGAAGTAAGGGGGAAATCATGATGTAAAATTTTTGGTTATGAAAACATTTGTTTTTGATGACCTAGGAGAAGTAATATTTTCTACATGTTGATTTTCGAGATTGTCTCTTCCACTTAATTTACAATTTAGTATGCTGACCTGCTAATTATTTTAAAGAATTATCTATAATTGTAGCTCACTCAATTCTTTCTAGTCCCAGTTTCCATTGTCTTCCCACATAGTATTCTTATAATACAACACGTTATTATCATGTTCTTCAGCAAAAGCAAACTGTTATCTCTTTTATACAGTCTATTGAAGAGAATGTTTTTAACTGTTCAGGAAAGGTTATTCTTGTAAATACCTGAGTTATTTTTCTAATATCCTTGTGTATACATGTTTAATAATTTTAATGATTACCTCATGCATCCAGATTTCCATCTGAGAGCCTATTTCAGGTGTCTCTACTCAAGGTACCTGGAGAAGTGGAAGCAGTTTTTCCCATGAGTGGAAAAGTTGACTAGCTACTCTTGCATGTGTTTCTAATTTTTTATTTTAGTTTTGTGTGTATATGTAGGTACTTATTTATGCATGTGTATCTACACATGTATGAATGTGCATGTACGTTTGTGTTCATGTGTTGGCCAGAGGTTGATGTCAGGGGTCTTCCTCAGTTGCTTAGTATCTTATTATTATTTTTCATTTTGGTTTATTCATGTGTGATTTTAATTTGTTAATGTGTGTGTTGTCTGCATGTCTGGCGTGTGTGTATCTGGTGTGTGTTTGTGTAGGTGTGCATGGTGTGTGTATGTAAATACACATGTTACAGCATATATGTGGAGGTCAGAGAAAGCCTTTGTGAAGTTGTTTTTCTCCATTCATCTTTATGTGGAATATAGGAACTGAACTTACATTATGAAGCTTTCACATGAGTTCCTTTGCCCACTGAGGCATTTGTATAATCCCACTACCTTATTTCTGGGAATAGGGTCTTTCCCTTAGCCTGGAGCTTGCTGATTCAGCCATTCTTAGTAGTCGGCTTTCTCCAAAGACCCTTCTGTCTTTCTGTCTCCCCAGCATGAAGGATTACAAGTGCACACTGCTGCTCCTGGATTCTACAGGTGTACTAGGGTCCAACTACAGGTCCTTGGGCTTGCATGGCAAGTGTTTTCCTGACTGAGCCTTCTTTCTAGCTCTTATATACGAGTTTTAAATCTCCACAAATTTTATTGTTTTTGAAGTTGAAAATAAAGAACCAGATTACACCCTGATAGATATAAAGAACATTTTACACACACACATTTATGTTATCTTTTTGCTATTTATTTTTATGTACATGAGTCTGTGCACTACATGTGTGCCTCGTGCCTATGGAGGCCAGAAGAAGGCTTCAGATCTCCTGAAACTGGAGTTAACAGATAGTTGGGAGCTGTCTGGTGGGTGATGAGAACTGAACCCGGCTCTTCTGCAAGAGCAACAAGAGCTATTACCCACGGAACCATCCCTTCAGCCTTGAGTTTTCAGAACCTCAATGTGATAATATCAATTCCATGATTCCCGAAAGCCCTATTTAACTGATCTGGTCATTGCTGTCCTTCCAGTCTTTCCCCAGTGCTGAAGACTCTGCTTGGAGTGGATTTAAAGCCTGTTAAATATCCCTTCCCAGAGTGTTTGCATTCCTCAATAGCAGCCGTTTGTTCTCACTTTTCTCCCGGGGGTGTGAATCCAGTCCATACATTCATCTGTTAAATCTGGTTCCAGATCAATGTCGTGAGTTATGTCTAATCATGGAAGCTAGTGAACCATATATCCTTCTGCTTACTGCCCTTTCCTTCAAGTCTCCAGCACCTGACCTCGGCGGTCATGGCCCTAAAATCATCTTTGATGACACTCTCAGCTTCCTCGTCCTCTGCACTTCTCACTTATCTTTTCTACCAGGACAGAACCCTTACCGTCACCCGATTTATAATCTATCAGTTTAGTTCAGGCTCTCATTGCCTGGCAGGGCTGCGATGTGACTGGATACGGCCTCCTCAGAGCTAGACCTTCAGTCTCTTCTGCAACCTTTTTGTGCCTAGCAGAATGCTTTCTCCTGTACAATGCTTTAATTTGCCTTCATTTTATTGCTTCATACATAAAGTTTACCTAGGATTAACATGCCAAGCCTTTCACTTAACGTTTAATATGATTTTATTTTCCTGACAAGCCTGCTATTCATGCTCTGTGTCATGCTTTAATTTGATTATTTCAGTCTCGCCTGAAGTTGATATTTCTACCGATGACACTTGAGATGTCCCTTTGGTAGCATATGAACAAACTTTAAAAAGATGAGAGAAAGCTAATTTTAGGCTGCAGTCAATAGAGAGATGCATAACTTGTCCAAGCACTGAGATTAAGATACTGAATGCCTAGCCATGAGTGGGTCACCCCCTCCTACAAGCTCAGGGATGTCATGGAAGAGGAAGAGAAAAGAAAATAAGACCTTAGAATTGGGGGAGTGTTGTGAGATGCTGATTTCTGGACAGGGCATTACTTTGGTACAGATGAACTCATAGGAGCTGAGCTTACCTGCTCAAGACCTATAGAAGCTCAAGCCAACCAAAATCCTAACAGAGATCAGGTGATCTCCAGACTTCCCTGAAGTGCTATTGGCAGTGAATAGTTATATGGATGCGACCACTGGGCAGGTTTTAGCTCAAACTACAGTGACTTTGTACCCATGTACATGCGAACAGCACTAACTGGATTTATTTAGTGGGTTACCAAATAAGAAAGGCATGAAGTTGGGAGGCAGCATGTTGGGGAGTATTGTGTACTTATAGGAAGGAAGAAATAGTTGGATATGATCATGTTTCATGTATATTTGTATGAGATTTCCCCCAAGTAAAATAAATAGAAAATCAATGAATATATAAGATAAAGTAGAAAATGCACACGTACCTCAAATTTAATATTGCTCTTATTTTTTTGTTGCTGTTACTGCTAGATTAAATTTAAGTTTTGAAAGTTTTTGTTTTGCTTTTGACAGGATCAGCCTAATATTGCCCAGACTAACTTCAGTCTTGTTATACTCCTTCCTTAGCCTTTGAGTTTGAGGTTTACAGACATTCATCTGCATTCTTAGCCTTTAAAGTTTTCTATCAGAAGGGTTAGTTTAAATAAAGCAATACATACATAATATAGAGATATTGTCCCAAAATATTTCCTGAAACATTCTAGAAAAGACTCTAGAATTCCTTTTAGGTCTAATTTAATTTCACAATTCTTTGTGAAGACTCCAGTGTGCTGGAAGCAAAGACCATAAACGTTGGTGATACATGAGCATAAAGTTCTGACGGTGGACACTGTGTGTCAGTTACCCCTATGTGGGCTTCTGTTTCCAGTGGTGAAGGGAAAACAAAGGCCTTAATCAGTCTGAAGGGAGCCACCTGGGAGAGCACTCAGCTTGTGTCCAGCTGAAATCTTCCTGGAAGCCGAAGGACTGAAGTAGGACACGATTGTGGCTGAGGAACACCACAGCAGGGTCCCTACCATGATTCTCTCCTTTGCTGGTATCACCACTTTGTCCCTATCTGTTGTTCTGTGTCTCCCAATGGAGCCTAGGGACCAGGAGCCAGTTTAAAGTGAGCAGGGAGTGAGACACCAGAAGCAAGAATTAACATGCCAAGTGCCAGAGGCAGGAGTGACTTGTCTGAAGCTGTATTTACACTTGGGAAACCAGTTCTAGAGCACCTTTGAGGAGAAAGCCCAAAGGAGCAATTAGTTCTTTTCATCTACCTCCCACTCCAGAAGCTAGGGCTGTTCTCATGGCCAAACAGACACACAGCATTTATTCCATTTTTTTCTCCCTCTGGATCTTAACTTTTGAGTTTCCCATGAATGCGTTGTGGCGTGTCCCTCCACTTCTCAGGGTGTCACTTTCAAGGAACTTTTCTCTCCTCTTCGAATTAGATCATAATGGTCAGACCAGTTTTCACAAAGGTCTTATAAAATCACTCCACTAGCGGTTTGTAGTCTTTCTCAAACATGAGGCAATCCAAAGGAGATCAAGGTGTATGTACTGGTGAAAATGGAGCTGGGTTGGGTGTCAGTTCTGCCCTGGGCAAGTTGGGTGTGTGTAACCTGATGCCTTCACATATAAAGTGAAAAACTGGACTGTCCCTCCTTCTCCTTACGCAAATAAATGCGAAGGACGCGTTTATCATATGTTTCACTGCAGCTCTCCCTCTTTGAACCCCTGGGACCCACTGCTGGATGGCCCGACTGCAAGCACTTCCGGTAGCAGGAATGTCCTGTTTAATAATAGTGACTAGGTTTAATCTAATTGTGAACAATACTCTTGGCACTCACAAATAAAGTAATCGTTTTTCTCAGCTCCTGGTTTGGGTAAGAAGTAGTCATTGGTTTGATGAGCTGGGGCAAAAGATGGATGACGAATGGATGATGGGCTGCTTTTTGCCCAAGTAGGGATATTAGATTTCAGTTCCTGAAAGACAGTACTCACTTGTCTTTGTGAAGAATCTAAACACAACATTTGGGCATTTAAGCTGAGGTCTGAAGGGAGCTAGCAGGTTATTCTTCTCCTCATGAAGGTTTTATATAAAATCTCATGCCAAATGCCTGTGGCATTGCTGGTGCCTCACAGCCTCAGTCCTGCTGCTCTGGCTCCTGACGGTGCTGACATGGTTTACAAGTGTGTGGTGTTTCCTCCCGAGAAGTAAAAGGAACTCTTACATATTGCTAATTGTGGAGTGGGGCAAGTTTGCCGCTTATGTTTTCATAGAGGAAGCTTAGCTTTAACTTAAGGATGCTTTGGGTGTTCATTCTCTGTGTGCATGTGACAAGTTCCATTATACTATGGAATTGTTTCCTATGTTTTCATGTAGATAGGAGACACTTGGAAAGAATCTCTTTCCAGAAACATGGAATTAACAAAAAATCCAAAAGCGATCTCTCATAGAGCACTTTATTAAGGTGTTTCTATGATGATGCCCAGGTCACAGAAGAGGTTCACACCAATAATACAGAAAGCACAAAAGGAAACTCTTTTTCTGATTTTAAAAAATCATGTCCTCAATTTTCTAAAATAAGTTTTAAGGTAAAGCATATCGAGAGCAAGAAGAATGAATATGGAAACCTTACAATTCCTTGCTTCCAAATATGCCCTAAATATATAGTGATCAAAACAACATGGCAGTGGCTTAAAACCACATATGTGGATAAGTAGTATAGAAAAGAGAGTTCAGACATAAACCCATGCATTTATAGGTAATATTATTAATGAGGATGTCAAGAATACATGGGGTGGTTTGATGTGGGATGCCCTTCTGTATGCTGTGAATATGTCTTATTACCATTGGTGAATAAAAAAGTTGATTTGGCCAAATCCCAGGCAGAAAATAGCTAGGTGAGAAATCCAAGCAAAGAGATTGGGGGTGGGGAGGAAGAAGATGGAGTCGGGAAGATGCCAGCAGATG